CTAGTACACTTCCCCTGACCGCAACATTACTCACCCGTTGATTCCACCAAACGTAAGCAATGCTACAAAGACACCAGTGATTAAAGGCCTGTAACTGCTTCATGTTGTCGACTTTGACGGTCATGTCTCAGCCGTATAATAGGAGAGAAGTGCAGTATAGTCGTCTTTTCGTAGACAGTTGGATACGTCACCGGTGTCACAAGTGACGCAAGTTGGCAAATATTAAAAGGGCCTTCTGTATCCAAGCTGAGATTCTGTCAGCAATCAGCCCATTCAGGCCGATGCAACTCCTCAAATAAATGAAGTGGTCGATACATTTCACAACGTTATATAGTTCAGCTACTACAATCTACTTCTGCTTAAATTAATTTGGTGCTGAGTTAAACTCTTGTGGAACTTAAGAGTGTCTCGTGCGATTTCCCTTTATTTTCTAACTATGACGAATCGAAGTTACGAACTTCAGTGTTTTACTGTTTAGACGGGATACATAAAAAAAAGTAGATTGTGTGAATCAATTTATAGATAAAAAGTGTCAGAACACAATTTAACCATTCAGAAGTAAAGGTTAATTATGCCTGTTCACTTTTAACTATGTTAAATAAAAATATATATAATAGGTGAGTGAAACTGTTTTCTAGTTAAAGGCAAGAATATAACAAAAAGAATTGTGTCCATGGTCAAAATAGTAACACTTGAATGATCATCTTTAGAAATGAGAAATATAGTGCGAATCACCTTACTTCTATATTCTTATTTTGACACTATGATAGTTTATTTTAATGCTGACTATAAGGTAAGTCAGACATCATGATATCGTGCTGACTCATGCTTGGTAGGCACTAGGTTATATCAGACAGATAGTGAATAGCATTGGCTTACGCTGAGTAGTAGGGTGTGATTGTGATCAGAGAATAAAATGGTTTCCAGGACAGCTATATTAAGGTTTCTTAAGGATTCCCAAGTTAAATATGCGCCTTAGGAACAACTTTTTCAAGTGAGAAAAATTCAATATTAATTTACCAGATAACTAATATTCTTTTCTTATCCCAACTGCTGACAAACGTCTGTTGATTTACTTATATGATCCACAGTGCAATACACATGACTCTATGCCATAACCCCTTCAGTTACATTTTGTACGAATCTGTTTGCTTAGTATCAACTCCCTTCAGAGATTTTGAAGGTGATGTAAGTTCACCATAAAATCTCTTTTACAAGAAATTAGAACCCCTCCAAATTATCCTAGTTTATATACTCCAAACCTTCAGGAACCAATCACTTGACATTATTGGTATTACCACTTATAAGTATGATAAGGATAACGTTTTTACTCGACAATTTAGGAAAAGAAGGAAAGTCAAACTAATGATAATCACTTCAGTGAAGAGAAGAAATGATACAGAAAAAAAGTAATGATAGATCTTAAGATAATTTTCCCTTTTCTAGTTTAACCCTTCATTAGGTCATGGTTTATCTGGAGTTTACGTGAACCATTTCGGACATGTGAAAATGAGGATCTTCACGATGAACGCCGGTTATCTTCAGTCAATAAGAAGCATATTTTTGCATTGTAAGTAAGGTGCAAAGAAACTAGTATGGAATTTGAAAAATGCTTGATCTATGTAACCACAATGTTCTCCATACACAAGATACGGAAGAATAGTAAAGCGAATCAGTTTACTACATAGGGTTAATTGCTTAGGCCATGCCCAGAAGGCTTTAACCTTGGTGTTATATACACAAGTAGTGGAATATTGAGGGAGTTATGGGGATTTGGAAATATTTTAAGTTGTTATTCTACGTAGACTGACATCAATTGGAGGAACAATGGAAACCTGGGAGCACTGGACAGCTGTTTCGTCCTAGTATGGGAATCCTCAGCAGTGCTAACCGACGACCCCGCCAGGTGACCGGTGGGGCAAGGGTTAAGGGTTTAGAGGACGGTTACTCAACCATGACATTGGATGGCAGTTGCGTTATATCATGAGGTAACAGAAGTTGGAAACATGGACCATGGACCCAGTGGCTCAATGGTAAGGTGTTGGCCACGGAACTTGAAGGTCGCGGGTTCGATCCCTGCTGCGGTCGTGGGTGCGTACTGCTGAGAAGTCCCATACTAGGACGAAACAGCTGTGCAGTGCTCCCAGGTTTCGTTTGTTCCTCCAACTGATGTCAGTCTACGTAGAATAACAACTTGAAGTACTAGAATAGCTGGAACAAAGGTGATGCTAATTTCAATGACAGTATCACTTAGATTTCCTTTGTAATAAGTCAAAGCTAAAATAACGTACATAAAGCGTTTTCTATTAAATATTAAGCACTATGTATTACGTACAAATTCGCACCAACAATATTTATATGAACACTGAAAACTTGGAAGCGCTGATTAGTTAAGATGATAGATTTTCAGTACTCATGAGATGTGGTTATCTCATAGAATGTATAGTCCAAAGGCTATAAACAGTATATTATTTGAGAACCCTAACAACAACATTATATGATTCACTTTCATTAAGGCACAAGTATAAAATACAATTCCCAACTCTAATTTGATGTCATTGATAAACACGTTAACAGCAAAATTGTTTTCCATGTAATTCCTAACCACTTGATATCCAGTAATTTCGCAGTAAGAATTTGTCTTAAAACAAAAGTACTCTGTTTATGGTAAGACAAAAGGGATAAAATGTTTTTCTTATTCATTTTCTGACTGCTAAAACAGTGTTTGCTATCGAACAGATTTTCCTTTTTTCAGTAGACATTTCATCTACAGAAAATTCTCATAAAGTAGTCATGCAAATTGAGTAAAGATGTACTTCTTCTCAAATAGATCTTCATCAAAAACCCATGAGTAATATTTAGTTTTTAAAATGAAAAATGAAAAAAATTTCCATTGACGATGATTGACTGAAACTAATCAATAATCTTATGGTAGGCATATAGATAACAGACTGAGTAATGATACATGTTAGGGAACACTATACTCACACAGAACTATTGGATACTTTAAAATAAAGTGAAACGAATGATGACGAGTAACTCTGAAGATAACATCAACAATTACTAAAAAAGGTAGTGTGTCAAATATTGGTGAAAAACAGCCTGAATTTATAGACTTTTACCTGACCTTGTATATCAATTAAGGGTTATCAGAACCAACCCAAGTAGAAATAATTCGCTATCAAAGAATATTAATCTAATCTTTTTTCAGCATTTTTCACCTACTCTAAAAGTTTTTCATCTTATTTATTAAAATTTTCAGGTCTAGGTGGAACATCTTGATGTTAACCTATATAAATATGTTTGTTGATTTCAACTATCTTAAGGAAGTTAGATGATGTGAATGTTATATTGCAACGTTTATACTTAGTTACTTTTAACACGATGAGTTAGGCTTTAAATACCCATGATGACTTCATCACCATTTTCCTTTGAATTGGGCTGCTTTTTGAAGCTAGTTACTTTAGGTATACATAAATTGTTTTATGCATGCTCTCTCCTACATACATACTAGTGTAAATTCAAAAAGAAAATTGAAGGAGTTGTGGGGATTTGGAAATATTTCAAGCTGTTATTCATCGTAGACTGACATCAATTGGAGGAACAAAGTAAACCTGGGACCACTGGACAGCTGTTTCGTCTTAGCATGGGACCCCTCAGCAGTGCGCACCCACCAGGGCTCGAACCCTTCCTGCATACATATCTTTTGCTTCTTTCAATAGTTATGTGGCTGGGGTGCTGGTGGTATTTCTGGAAGAGTTGCAGGTGGTGGTGGTGGCCGATTCAAGAGTTTTTTTGAGGTGGTCAGCCTATCATTTCCTTTGTTTCTCCTCTTTGCTTCCTTCACTATCATTGGTTTCATCTCCACTGATCTCTTTCTAGAAAGTAACCTAGTTATTTCATACAGCGTTATCGGGTCTCTCCTACAGCTTGTTCTGCTTCACTTATCAGTGTGTCGTAAAAGTGTCTTTTGTCTTTGCGCGCACTCTTATCACCTCTTAGTCTAGTGTTTTGTAGGTTGTATTCAGTTCCTCTTTACGTTGTTCATCCCCGTACTGGAATGGCTCATCTTCTGCTTCATCATCTTCCTCTCCCTCCTCTAACAGCTTCCATGTGTCCGCCGAGATCCATTCCTTATCCTGTTTCTACATCCTTCCTAATATGGTTACGCAGGTTTCTTTCCACATCTCTTTCAAAGAGTTCTACCGTTCTTCCAAGCAGGTTTTCTCTGCAATGCTGCCTAATGTCTCCCATTTTTTCCTGATAGCTGACGTGAAGATGTTCTTCAGTTCAGTTTCTGTTCTGGATGTTGAACTTCAACTGTGGTCTATCAGCAGCTTCTTTGAAGGCTTTCAACTTGATTTTAAAGGTTTTTTGAACTAGATAGTGAGTGATGTGAACCTAGGTCTGTTCGTTCTCTTGATCCGATCTTTTGTTTAATAGGCTGCGTCTCCACCTTCTTCACATTGACATAAAGTCGATCTGATTTTCAGTGTATCTTGGTGTCTGGTGAGATCAAATCCATGTCTCTGCCTTTTGAATATCCTTGTGTTTGTAATACACTGCCTCCAACCACTTAATTAATGCGCAGAAATCTGCAAACAGTTCTCCATTCTCTTTCATTTCACCAACCAATAAGAATCGATTAACGAAGATTCATGATAGAACAAGGTGAAATGTTTAGTAGAAAAATGAATGACAAGGAAACTGTACACAGGTTTTCAAAAAAGCAATATTTTTCGAAAATGAGCCTTTATTATACGAATGAATATTTTTTATGAATGCTTACAGAAGTGAAACCGTTTATAGATGAAGAAAGCCTTATTTCAATTATTTTATCGCTTTGTGAATAGTCTCTTTCAAAGTCAGACTTAAGATAATACTCAGGTTGAAGTTATAAAAATCTTATTTACATAACTCAATTAATACTGTTAGAACATTTAAAATTCAGCTGAAAATATTTACTTTTCTAAATATAAAATTGATATTTTTGCACTCACCTTTATAAATATTGAATCATCTACTTTAGCTTCTTCAAAAATAGTAGCAAATTGAAAAATTGGACAAAAACGATTCTCTGGATCAGTTTTATTATAAAGACATGTACGAAGAAATTTTTTGATGCCCAATTTTGAATATTTCGTCTTCAATGAAATAAATAGTATGACAAAAAGATAATTATATTTCATTAAAATTTTGTTTTCAAGTTATTCTTTTACAAAGACTTCTTGGATTAGAAAATTGAAATGAAATTGCCTAGTGAAAACTTAACAGCTTACAGTCATTGACTTATGACCTCTACTTTATTCAAGATTTTATCTTGTTTATTTCAAAGTGATGACCTTGTCTGTTAGCGAGAAGCGCTTATAACAAATGTATCCTTTAGTTAACTAGAGTAGTTGAGTAGTATCGAAGATTTTAATAAGCATCAGACAGGGTATTCGGATTTCATGCCTTACATCAATCATATGTAAGACTTGAGGCCAACTTCGAAAATCTGCACAAAAAGTTACGGAACCAAAGCTTGTTTAATAAGATTAAACAAATATCTGTATGACTGCAGCGTCTGCAAGAGAATGTTTTGAGATGGCTAAAAACACCAATTTCAAGTCTTTCGTGCTAACCAAATTCCATACATCAAGTTACATGGAAGAACAGAAGTATATTGTCAAATTCTGTGCCTTTCACTGTCAATAATTCATATCTGAATCCTTGCGAAGGCATGAGTTTTTCGAGGGTTTTAGACATACTCAGTGGAAGGTTTTCAACACTCTACAAACTTAGATAGCGGATTACTTACAATATCAGATAAAGTGAGCTATATCGTGGTGCTTCACCACCGTCATTTGTTCAACAAAGTGTAGTCAGGACTAAGAACCTGACAGTCATACTAGCTAAAATATGGTGATCACATCGTGTAAATATATAATTCCTCAGAAATAATCTATTATTTAACATGTGTGTAATCGAATAACTGTCCTTACGGTTGACTTGGTTGACCTCACCAGTCACAACTCATTGGATCTTCAGAGATTACTTCTCGAAGCTAGTCATCGATGAGTACCAGATTAATTCAATTTTGAAATTTGCGGGAGTTTATAATGATGATGATGAATGCTGACCTGAAATCAATAAATAAATCTTCACAAACCTCAAAATGTGAAGTGATCCATTGCTCATTGGTGACTAGCTTTAAAAGATGATTCTTGAAGTTCCGATGAGAAGTAGTGGATGATGGTCCCAACCAAGTCGGACATTTGTATATTAATTGATAGTGGAGTCAGTTTTTGAGTATCCCTTCTTTCCTCGGTTAGAGATAATTCATTTTCTTGATCAAAGTTTTAAATACTTCCCTCCATTATACCAGACAGTAACTGAAATTATCTTCATGGTATATTTCATGGAGTCAAGCTTAGCAATTACCTGATCCATGAGAGTATAGTCTAATATAGTCTAATTTCAGTTGATTTACTAGATATATCATACTACGAAGCAATATTATCAGTAAATTGCCTCTTAGACACAATTCAGTTTCTGCCATTATGAAAATAATCTGCAGGAAGCTCTGGATCTACGTTTTGCGCTTCTTAACACTTTACATTAAGATGAAAGTATAACTCCAAGAGGATTGACATCCCCTCAGAGATTCAAAACTGAACCCATCAAGGCTACTCGGGTGTGGAATATCCTTCTACAGGACTGTGCTGGATACACTGATCACTTCGTATGCAGCAGTTTATTTCATGTTGTTGAATTTACAGCTTCCTGTCAACTGACTGAAACCATTAAACATTACTTAAGGCGCACTGTGACAGTAAGTCTTCTAGGTTAGTCATCACGTTGCAAAATCAAGGATGAAATTTGATAAGTACATGGGGCTAGGTTAAATACAATGCATAATTTATTATCCGTAGTCATTTCATATTGATATGGACAATAAATATTGTCCAAAACGTACTTAAGTAAACATTGCTATTTCATTGTGTGATACGTTTAAAAAAATCATTGAAATTGCAATTGCATTCTTCCACAGAGCTCTAGATTTACTTTGATAGTACACCCTCAAGTCCTGCATCTTCATATTCCAAATAATTGCAAAAAATAGTATGTAACATGTTATTATACTGAAAAGCGGTGGAAGTACTTATAACCACAATGCTGAGAAAAAATCGGATTCATATACAAGCTATCAGTCATTTAAGAACCCAGAATAATTTTAATTTACAAGAGATTTTTTTCTCGACTATTTCTCTTGTTGGCATTATGGTGTAAAGTTCATAACGCGTTCTGGTAGATAGTTTAGATTCAAACAGTACTTCCAGGTACTAAAAACATGAGGAAGAACTTTTTCTATAAGTTAAATATATAAAGAAATGGATATAAACTCTTAGTTAATGTCAATGTCTCCATAACCTTTCATAAGAGCTGTTTTGTACCTTATTTTACCATATTCGCGTCACAGTAAGAGAATGAGTTACGCTTGAAAACTAACGTCATTGTTTCTCTGTCTGAGGTGCATCTTTCTGAACTATGCCAAGAAATATTTATTCACTAACATATGATTTTTTTTGAATCACCATACACAATTCATTACCAATTTTGATGTCACCCTGTTCGTAAAGTATATTGAAAACAATGAAGACAATCTTTTAAAGGTTGCCACTTTCCATAAAGTTATTACACTTATTCAAAAATGATTACTCGACAAGAAGTACAGCATTTCAAGAAAACCTGTACCTTGTTAGATTTTATGAATCTAAGTTTCTCTAAGCATTCACGGGATTTAGAAGATGAAAAAGTTGTCCAGTCAAGATTAATCTGACCATCAAAAGTGAACAACTATAATGAAGATACAACTCCACAGACATGGTTAATAACATGTTTTTTATTCGAATAAACTTATAAGGACGTTTTTTGGATAAATTAAAGCTTTAGAGATCAACTAAATACTGACCAGAAGACAGTTGATTAGAATGAATTGTTTGAAGGAAATTTATAATATTTGCTATCCCCCCCCCTCAAAAAAATAATAGAGGCGATTTACTCCCGATATGTGATGAAATTAGTTAGTGAAAAGCACCGATTTTTCAGTTTATACTTAAAAAAATTAATAAATAATCTTATTTGATGTTAAACTTAGTACTTGATTACATAATGAATTTACGGTGACAAGAATTTACCTGTGTATACCAAATTTTTCAAAATTTATATCATTTTTAATGAGCAAGGTATAATTATAAACCATTGGAAATAAGTAAGATCCTTTGCCGAGTGGTAGAGTATCATTTTCCAGAGGACACCAGGAATATATCTCACATGAACCAATATCATTTCCTGATTCAATGATACACTTTCCTGTTTGCACTCCTACCAAATGAAAATGCATAAAAACGTATAGAACACAGTTAAAGTTAAAAAAATTATGAAGTACTTTGACTTCATAACTTCAAAGTGGAATAGACGGTATCAGTTGTAGGAAACCCAAAGTCTCTAATCATTTTCTTACAATGATAGGATTGTTAAACCATTGCCATAAGTTTGAGAGATCTACTGCAATTATATAATTTATCAGGGGAATATAAGCCTACATAAAGAAAGGTGAGAAGCTTCTAAAACATTTGATATTTACAAAATAAGCAGATTGGGTAAGTTTTTATTCTTTTAGCAGATAATTTTAAAACTTGACAGGAATAATTGACCATTATTGCAGTTTTTTGAGACTCAGTCTACATTTCTGTGCAATAGACATATTTCAAGTATGATCACATGCCTTTAGATCAGATAAACTGTCAGACTTCTGTCACTTGTGTTTAGTTACACTGATTGATTCCCGGATGGTAACCACTGGAGCTAACAAAACTTAGATACCAAGCACGAATAAATGTTTAAAGATCAGTTGAATTTCAACCACTGAGTTAAACTGTATCACACTCCAGCTTACTACATTGTGTTGCTAGATGTAAGGAATCGAGTGACAGAAGTTTCCACCGGCTCTTCACTAATTTTAGGTGTAAATGTAAAGAGACTGATCTACCCTGGGTAGTTTGCAGCCGCTTTTAATCTGTTTATTGGGAATGTCGCACAGTGAAAAGGTAGTATTCACCGGATAAGGTTTCACACATAATTTATTGTCCATAATCATATCATGATATGAATATGAACAGTAAATTATGTCCGAAATGTTATCCATTGAATGATACTATTCTGATGTGTGGTACGTCTAGTAGATAGGCTAAAATGGAATTACAATCTACCGCAATGCCGAAGTTTTACTGCTATATTAGGGTGTACATTCACGTAATTTCCTGCCGAATCTTGAGACCGCCATTTAGCAACTGAGGTCATGAGTGAATATGCATGAATCAGTCACCAAGTGTTATGTAATCCTCATATAAAAAATACATACATATGTGTATTTATATGATTTATGCCAATTTTGTGGAGCTGAACTCTTGATTTACCATAGTTAGCTAAAGGTAGAGAACACCAGTTACACTGTAAAAAACTCAGCAACTATCTACTAATCTGCAGACTATTTCATTTATCGATTTCATACTTGATTCCACATAGCCGTGCTCGGTTGTCCTAAATTTCTTAGGTAGGAACAGTTTTCAATGCAGCAACCTACTAAATAGCTTTCTAATGCCCGAACTTATTGGTCACAGCTTTGAAAATGACAAGATCGTTGATGGGGCAAGAATATCGTTCCACTGAATAAGCTCAGTGATATGATTAGCCGATAAAAACTGGAAACAATGAAGCTTAGTGCATAACCCATTGACTAAACACTAATTTTCTCAGCACTGGATCTGAAAATATCAAAGTGTCTTCCATAGTCGATGGAACATGCGAACTTTTGAAAATTCCTAAGTGGTAAGAAGACGGCGAAATACCAGACTTAACATTTGGTATAATAAAACAAACCATCATTGTTAATTTGATGGTTTGTTTAACAACCCTCGTTGGTTAAGAACTATAACGTTCTCCAAGAAACCTTCCTTCCATTACACAGATATAATAAAAGTGCAACAGAATTCCTTTCTATTCATGATTTAATTACTCAGATCATATTTTAATAGCTTTTACTGTCTTTTTAAAAGAGGCTGTAAATATCGTGCGCAAACAAAAAGTAACAGTTAGTAAGAGTGATACCCAAAAAATTCATAGTTGCATATCTCTCCTCCAACATCGTCATCAAAATAATTTAGGTTACTTTGTGATGTTAGTATCACAAATAACCATTTAGTTATAATAATCTAAGACATAACATGAAGGTTTCAAAACGTGACAGGCACTTCACTCTAAGGAATGATTACTCTTCTCTTCAAATAAGGTGTTAGTAAGTGGGATATACTAGATGGCACTAGAATAGTATATTAAAAAGCTTTTTTCAGTTTCTACGCACAATCAACCACAAAAACGTGATATTTTTAAGGTTTTCAGTTGAGAAGTTCTTAAGTAAAGCGATCTTTTATATTCTACCAACTGAGTCTTTAATATTTATGACCAAAATCATCAGGAAAACTTATTATATGAAAAAGTGCGATCTTTTGTTACTACAAGTAAGTTTTGTAGTGTATCCGGATTCGCAGTAGAAATATACATTGTTTTGTTCAGCAGTTTTAATGCCCTTACTTCGAGGTGGATGAATATGTATCATTTGCTAAACTTTTTTGATGGAGTAACGTTGGTTTATTTAAGACATGAAACTTTCATGCCTGAACTACAGTTATTTTATCCAGTTGATGAGATACACTTGCATTTTTTACACCTGCGACGCCAAACAGTAGAAGTGTCATACCCCTTGGCTTTGAAAATTGTAGCAAGGTTTCCCATCACATTTTGCACCACCTGAAAGCATTATGATGAAACCGCCTTGACAAAACAATAACAAAGTATGTATGCACACCAGAAGTTCGATAGAAGAAATTGAGAAATCACTTTCTAGCCGTGAAGTTTTGAAAGTGATCGCTTATTTTGCACACATTAAACCAGCGAGAACTTTTTAAAGATTTATTCATGCATACCTATGCTAATTGTGCTGCTTCCTGAGTTCGGTTCTCCGAAGTACTTCGTATCCCATCAACTTTTTACTGACTGTATTACCTTAAGTATGATACTGGTTGTTCCGAGACATTCTCCCAAAGTGATCTTACAAAAGAGTGAATGTGCTGCTGCTGTAGAAATCTTATTTTTCCGTATAAGTCCAGGCAAAGCGTGTTCTTATAAAAGAGAGAACGTGAAACATTTGAGTTCATTCAAAGAATTAAGCTGCACACTGTAGTCTTAAATAGCAAGGGATTTTGCTGCATAAATTCAACATCAAAAAGGCAGCAGGATCACCTTCAGCATTTTTTTTTCAAATAAAAAGGTGTAACAGTCACAAATATATCTACTACGCAATGCAATGGTTGACTTAATGTACACCGTTAAATAACAAGCGAAACACTGTGTTTAGGCACCTGAAGCCAAAACGTTGGCTTCCCAATTAGAAATTATTTTAAAGTGAGTAACTATGGAGTAAAGACTTACCATTTCCAAGATGTGTAATAAAATAAGGTTGACAGTCTGTATCGTGACGACACGATGCTGCAGGTACCCAGGGACTCTACACATATTTAGACATAAACTAAGCTGAAGTAACCTCTGCGCATTTCGACAAAGATTGTCGTTCAGTTTTAATAATGTTTGTTATCACAAATAAGGCATTGTTTTCTAATGGTGGGATAATATAATCTGCCACATCCCAACTGCGTTTTCCAATACCTGGAACTTGTGATAAATTTGTAAACCCGATTCCTTTCACTTTTGTAGTGACTGCACTCTTGGCGACATCATTCTCCTGATAACCCTTTTCATAAATCATCACCCAGCTAACATTTAACAGTAGGATTTATTGACATTTACCAGACAACATATATAAGAATAACAAGTTGAAGCAGCCTCTGTGTAACTCCGATTTTAATATTTGATATCTGTACTAACTTCGGTGTCTCATATTCAAAAAGAACTGCTATCCCTTTAACCATTTGGTACCAACGTCTACATATGTCAAGAGTTGAAACTTCTCAAATTATTCAACCTTTTAAGGTCACTTACTTGAGGCATTTAAACTTCCAAATTCAATATCTGTCTCACGAGCTTGTGCAAGCCAGTAGCTTTTTTTGAGCCCACAACTTGGTCTTGTGGAATGGTTCCAGGTCTTTGGCGGAATCCGATGCATTAAATCCAGCCACTCGACTGCTATAGCTCTGGTATACAGGATAGAAGGTTGAGTGTTGGTTGTTTAGCCTGGGACTGTGGTGCAGTAGGGTTCTTCAGATGTCGAGTGCTAAGGCAGTTACACAGACTGGTCGTTAGAGGGGGTAAGAGATAGTGAGGAGATAAACTAGGAAGACAAGTGTGTGTGAGTAAAAGACACAGAAAAGTGAACTGATGGAGTAATCTACTTACACCCAAGTAAAACGAGAGGGGTGCGAAAATGTGAAGGACTTAGGTAGGTGAGGCCAATTCATGGCTAGTGAAAGGGATGAAAAGGGCTTAACTGATTCAGTAGGAAGAAAACTGGCGTAGAGGTAACATAGTCGGAATGGTGTGACAGTAGTAGATTTCTTCGGTCTGTTTCTTATTCCAGCCGTGTGTCTCGCTTCTTGATCTTGCGGAATGGTTCCAGGTCTTTGGCGAATTCCGACGTCGTAGATCCGGACACTTGTCTGCTGTCGCTGTGACTTACAGAACAAGTAGTTTAAGTGACCGTTCGGTAGTAATCCTCTATTCCGGGGGCTTGGGTTATTCACTCTCTTGTGGGCCATTATCAACTCACCTCGTAATCTTCAGTAACTAGGAGAGTATAATCCCAGGTCTTTCATTCTGTACTTATTTGGTTTTTAGTGCATCCCAACAGCCCACTTTGTGGCTCGCCATGAACTTTCATCGGTAGGTTCGCGCCTCTTTTCAGTTGTGATGGAGCCAGAAAGTTACAGACCTCCAAGTGACGTCGTATGTAAGTCTTTTGGAGTTTTGAAAAAGCTCTGGAGTGTGGACATCAAGTTGTTTGCGCACAAAGTGTAGTACACTGTATGCTTTTGAGGCGTCGATCAGGTAACCGGAACTGGTGTCCAGTTTCTCCGCCACCATCAAATCCAGGTCTTTTCCTGTGGCTTTATAAGAAAGCCATGAACCATAGAGAGAACGGAATACGTTTTGTGGATCTCCAGTCCAGAAAAACATTGGCCGGCATTCGTCGAGGTTAAATGCTAATTCGTTATCCGTCGTCCACCCTTCAGATGGTTTGAAACAGTTCTGTCGTGCATTCGATTACGTCGCGCATGTTACTGCCTTCCATACCTTGACGTCGTCAGCGTGAAGGAGAATCTAAGAGCCTATATGTAGAAGAGGGTCACCCATAAACAGCAGGAACAACAACAGACTGAGATTTACTTCTTGTGGGCGATGGTGCTCTCCAAGTTGAGATGACCCTGTTTACTTTTCGCAGAACTTCCTACTGTCTCATCAGTTCTGCAGCCACAACAGCGCCGGGCCACAAATGCCCAGCCCGGCTATTTTGTGTATTACGGTGGCGCGTGAGACAGTGCTGAAGGCTTTGGCGAGATGCGGAGAAATCCGCCCTGACTGGGACCTTGAGTTCCCAGCATGTTGTCCAGGGATCATCAGTCGTCAGGGGGTTGGAGGCAAAATACCTGCCCCTTCGGAAGCCATATTGGGCATCACTGAGTGCTCGGTTTGTGTCAAGATATTCTCTGACGCGGCCGTCCATCACGACGTACATAGCTTTTGATGCCACCGGTAAAATTATTATTGGTGAGTAATAGTTCGGGTCCTCCCTGCTTACGCCTCTGAAGATAGGGGAGAGAGTGACCCATTTTCACTCCCCTGGGGGTCTCTGCTCGTCTAAGGGGTGTTGAAAAAGGTTACTGAGCGGGATGCTCAGGGTACTCGCATACTGTTTCAACACAGATTGTTGGATGTCGTTGCACTCTGGGGAATTTCCCACACTTAGCTCTGATAGCTTATCGGAAACAGCGGCATGGGTTATCTGTGGTTCGGTGGCTCTGCTCCGTCGGACAACGTTGTGGGCTGTTCAGTCAGTGAGTATGCGTGCCTCAGCCTGTCGATTTTCTCTTCACCGTGTGTGGTACTAACTAGCGCTCCATGAGCGGTGTTAGCCTAGCTGACCACGAACGGTAGTAACCTAACGCGCATAGAATCGACTCTAATGGAAATCGGAATGTCAACCACTGCCAAAGAAATAAAAACGGCGCGTGAAGACAGGAAGAGAAGACAGAAAGCTGACAGAGAGATTTTTACTGCCCCAACAAAAATCGGTGCAGTTAACAGCTATGCTGAGGATATGGATACATATAGCTATTCATCTAGACTATACGATTACGTGGAAACCTACTGATTCCAGAAATCATCAGTGGGGGTTCTTCTGATCTCTGAAGCTATAAGTATAGGAATTTACAGTAAAATAGGGGTTTATTTGCGGGAAAGTGGGACTGAGAAAGCGAGTCAAACATGCCATCTGCTTGCATTGTGAATTTGAAATTTCGCGCCATGATAAGAAAAGCATGGGTGAAAACTGTCTAAACTCTAACGTTTTGTATGCGCTGGAAAGTGATACTTCCCCGTTCGTTTCATAGCTGGTACACCCTTTCGAAGGCTTCAATAGAATTTAATGATCTCCTTTCCGTGCCATTTGGCACCCGTAAAATATTTACGCTTTTTAAACGTATATCAACGTGATGATACCATTAAGCTGGCTTCCGTCACGTTAAATACCCAGTGTTTGGCTAGAGTCACTCATTTATTTACTTCTAAATAACCTTTACAAACACTAAATGAACGTGTAGGCAAAAATAGTTAACAACCAGTGAGGGTTCAGGCTTGATAGCAGGGTGAGGAAAAAGTAGTAATGATGTAGAAACGGCCACATAGGTTATTTTAGGGTCATGGGCAAAACAGCCGGTAAGGGCTGTGCGGAGCTACGGGTATCTATCATGCCCCCGAAAACTGAGCCTAGGTTTTTACGCTCCTATATTTGCTCGGGTAAAAACTTCATTTTGTCCTCCGGCTTCCTTCTAGTTGATTCTTCATCGAATGGAAGTAGTTTAAAATTTTAAAGTGGCTGATCCAGCGGTGTCTCGGTTTCTGAGGGTGTGATGTGGCGGTATCGCACATGACTTTTGTGCCTCATCCATCTTTTGTGCCACACTTTAACCTTGTACATGAGAGTCCTTCATTGACATTCACTCGGACCTCCTGCCCGGTTTTGCCTTTCTGGTTGATAATCGTGAGCGTGGAGGGCGTTTGCCTTGTGAAAATGTCCCACCATATTTTCCAGTTGAAGACGGCAACATGGAATGATGATAGCTACCTTGGATGCATCCCATTCAAAGTTCAGCTGAGCCGTTACCAAACCCCCGGTGCGGTATGCAAAAGGACAATTTTGCACGATTTTTGGTGCAGCCTCCGTGCCTTCTACAGAGCTCTTGCGAAGGTGTCCATAAATCCTTCCACTCAGCCATTGAACTGAGGGTGGCATGGTGGCGTCCGCACCTATTGTATACCCTTTCTTCTGCAGAAATCTTGAAGTTCTTGAGACGTGAACTGCCTGCTGTCAACATTCTGCTGCAGCACAAGTGGTACTCGCCGCCTCAATTCCTAAAGGGAAACTGCGACTTTCAGCGTATAGTTCAGACTAGTAGTAGCTACCTGAATGCCAGCCCGGATGGTGTACATTAACCGCTGAAATATGGTGGGGCAACCTGTTGTACTAAAATAGCCCTCGGCATGTGTTTATTGTTAATTTCTCGCGGTACGCATCCGAAGCTTCAACCCGCAGGTATGCATCAGCCAAATCAACCATCCCATAGGCATTCCCGCCACTTGGGATGCTAAACTTTGGCATTGGATACAAGTGCTGTTTAAGAGCTGCATTCAAACCTGTTGAGAAATCAGCACAAATACGAATGGAACCATTCTCCTTTATAAAGACCGCGGAAGGAGATGCCCACGACGAATAGGTCGCTGCTTCTTTCGGTTGCTTTAGCTCAGCTTCTACAGTTTGCTGTGAGGTGTATGAGACAGATCTTTCAAGGAGAAAAACTGGCGTGGCATCAGGCCGCAGTCATAGAATGGCTTTCATCGCGTTTAACAGCCCTACCCCAGGCCAGAGTAACATCTTAATTTCCAGCAGGGATGTTAAGGCTTCTGTAACTGCAACCTGATAACGTATACTGCGGAAGGGGATCTCCATGAGCCGTAATTATCACCTCCATCCGACGCCTAAACGCATACATCCTTACTGTGTGAACATGCATTACAAACGCTTATCAAACATAACTGCTTGCTGCTTGCTTTTTCTACCCGTAAATCACTGTTGAAATATTCATCCAAAATGCAAGCGATTACTTTCAACCCTCGCCTCACAGCTGACTTCATCCCGAATGCGTTCTCACTAAATTGCACCCTACCACCACGACGGCCATTGCTTCCTCATTCTACATTTGCACCTTTTCTGTTCACATTTAGTCACGAAATAATCGAAGCCTGAATCAATATCGGATACTATTTTAGGATGTTTCTAAGGTCATTTCTACTTACTGTCCGGGAATTTCATACTAGCGCATTTGTATATTAAATCTTACTAAGACTGAGTGCTAATTTGTAAAACTATCGCAAAACAATACCACTACCACCCGGATCATAACGTGGCGTAACCAACAAAATTGTCGCAGTCATTGCTTCTTGTGGAATACTCAGCTGACTGCAATTCTCGTGGACTTCATGAAGTACTTCTTCCAAATTTCTCCATCCTCCTCCAGCTACGTTTTTTCGTCTCCCGTTTTCTCTTCTCTTCTGAAGACGCCTACCCTAGAATCAGGCATGGTGAAATTGATATCCCACCTGTTTGAACTACTGAGAGAAAACTACATTTGTCCCCGTCTAGAACTATGTCAACAAGTACAGAAGTGAATATTTCATCCTAAAACATCAGCGAGCATAA